ATCTATTATGCCTTCTGTCTACACTATTATAATGACCTTTTATTTGGTTTTCCCAAAGCTGCATCTCCCATCTCTACTTTCTCAAATGCAAGTCACATTCTTCATTACATCATATAAATGGCCATCCTAAAATCCCACTTTCATTACGTCATCCTGCTTAACTTAATCCTAGATTACAAACTCCTCATTCTTAGCGTGGTAGTCAATGCCTTTTATCTGATTTTCTATTATTTGCAGTTCTATTGCCCCTACCTTTTCTCTCTGCCCCGACTCCCCTCACTGGCAGTGTTAAACACATACGCTTACTGATTTCTGAGGCCATGTCCTCGTTCAGGCACATGCCTCTACCTGCCATAATTCTCTCCTTTCCTCTCCTCCTGTTAAAATCTTCACCTATAAACAACCAATCATTTCAAGATTCTCTAAGTTTGCCAACTCTGACTCAACGTCTTCTAGGCTCAATCCAGCTGAAAGTAATTTTTTCTCTCCTGTGTCCTTTTCCAACCCCTAGCTTACATCACTCACAGAGTACTTTCGTAGCATCATTTACCGCCCGAAGCGTGAGGATTTGGATCTGTGTGTCCTCTCCTCTACTCTCTCCCCACATTAGATAGCACATTTCTCAAGGTCAGGGCTAATTTTTCATACCTTTGAAATCCTACTGCACTTGGCATAGAATTTTACACAATGTTGGAACTTGATTAAAAAAAAAAGAAGTTGAATGAATTCAGACCTAAAACAAGTATAGGTAGAAAAATACAAATTCTAGAGACCTGATCATTAGGAAATACCCTCTTCCAACTCTAGAGTTTACTAAAAGCCAAGTAGAAGTGAATGACTTTGTACTATGCAAATTCCCCAACCTTCTCATTTTTAAAAAAAAATTAAAAATTCAGAAATTAATGTAGAAATTGGTTTACTTCCCACAGGAGGAACAGAACAGTTTCCTTTTAATGTTCCTTTCAGTCCTCAAGAGTCAGCAGTTTTTGATGTGCGTAAGTGGGAGAGAAGACACAGAAAAGTATTGCCTTTTTAAAGTAACTGCCACAGAAAGATCGATTTTATTTATAAAAATGGCAAACTGAAAGTGTGCAAACTTAAAATGGAAATTTTAGGAAAGAGCTTTCCCACTAGAAAAATGTTTTAATATGAGGTTTAATTTTAGAGCAATCACCCTCGACAAACAAATAAAAATTTTTCTGGTGTCATTTCTGTAATAAATATATTTCTCTAAATGTGCACTTCAGTAAATGGCAATGTATTAAATATCCCTGATGAAGAGACAATGTCAGAATCTAAAAGTTAAAATTACATGTGCCTGCTAATTTAGATTTGTCATTATTTTAGCATTTGGTCACCAGAATTCTTTGTATATGAAACAATCCAAAAAGTCAATTAATAATTTTAAAGTAAGTTGTACAGAAAAATAAGGCTTTTGTAGAATAGAAAAAATGAAGCAATTCATCATGGGACATACTGAAGAAATGGAATAGGTATTTTACTAAGAAAGAAATCCATCCTACAGGTAATCAATAATCTTAATATGATGATAATAAGTGCTCATGCACAAGGGTTGCAATCACTAATTGTCCTTTGCATAGTCATGATCTGACATGAGCAAGGCTGAAACATCCACAGAGTCCTCATACAGAGCTGCTGATTATTGTAGTTGAAACTAAACAATAGAAGAAAATGCTTTATGAAAAATAAGGGTAAAATTAGATTATGGTGTAGACAAGGAAGATAGAAAGACTAGTGAAACTAAAAGAGGGAATAATGAGGGGAGGGTATAGCTCAGTGGTAGAGCAAACGCGTACCATGCACGAGGTCCTGGGTTCAGTCCTCAGTACCTCCATTAAAAAAAAAGTGGAATAAGTTTGTTTTCTATGTCTGTGAGTCTGTTTCTGTTTTGCAAATGAGTTCACTTGTGTCTTTTTTTTTTTAAGATTCTGCATAAAAGTGATATCACATGATATTTTTCTTTCTCTTTCTGGCTTACTTCACTTAGAATGGTGATCTCTAGGTCCAAGGAGAAAATGGGAGTTCAAGATTTGCAGATACTAACTACTAAATATAAAATAGATTTTGTACAAGTTTCTACTGTATAGCACAGGGAACTATACTCAATCTCTTATTGTGATCTACAATGAAAAAGAATGTGAAAAGGAATACATGTATGTATATGGATGACTGAAACGTTATGCTGTGCACCAGAAATTGACACAACATTGTAAACTGACTAGACTTTAATAAAAAAAAAGTGGACAAAAAAAAAGGGAATAAGAGTTGAGGTCTGTTTACTATGTTCTCATATAAACAGGTAACTCAAATATATTAAAGTACAGAAATAACATAGGATCTTTTTATGACAAAAGGAATAAACAGCTATAAACAAGATAAATGTCAGAGGGATGTTTTAATTTAGATCACATGCTAACTGCTAATAAATCATTACGTGGGGCTGTTGTTTAAATCAATCTCTTCATTTCAGAATAGAAACCTGTACTATTGTCAAGGTTTGTATTTTATCAGTGACAATTTGGTGGCATCTTACTTTCCTACATTTTGTACAGACACCCAAACACAATTCATAGAACAGATTAGGGGGAGACCACGTCTGTTGCTCCAGCAACTGTAGTATCAGTTACCTATTGTTAAATATAAACTTCCTATTCTATCCAAATCTACAAAATATTTAATTCATTGCTGCCAGATAAGGAAAATATTATTTGAATAAATGCATTTTTCCAAAGCAATCTGCAGCATGTTTATAAAGAAAGTTTTTTAAGGTTTCAGAAAAAGTGGCTTCAAGTGGGAGATTAAATATTGATTTTACGATTTGGCCAGTCATTTAAAATACATAATCTCATAAGTCAGGCTTACATCTTCTAGTGCTTCATTGTCTTTTTCATTTTGTAGGTAAAGTCAGAGAGTTCAGACAGCCCTTCTCTGGCTAATCCATTACAACGTGCTGAAGAAAACCATCTGATCAATGACTTAAAAATAAAAGTGACGGTCAAGGGAGTGCTACTCAACAAATAAAGGTTGAACTTATCATTCAGAGTATGTGTTTGTGTATAAGAAGTATTACATCCTTGTATTAATCAATGTGAAGGGAAAACAGAAGGGAAAGGAGGGAGTGAGGGAGAAAGGAAAGAAGGAAGGAAGAAAAAGGAGGAAAGAAAGAAAGACAAAAAAACTCTGAGTCCTATCATCAATGAATTTATAATAGTAAGTTAAAGGTCTAAAATCCAACCCTTTTCTTAGAAATGCTACATAAAGATGCCCAAACTCGGGGGTTTACAAAGCCGTGCCTCTAGGGTAACTTCCCCTGCCCGTCCTAATTCCCTGTTCTTGCTCCATTTTTCTCCAGCGCACTTACCACAGTAAGACATACTATAGACTTCACTTATCTGCTCTGCTCAGTCTCCTCGCCACTAGATTAAGGTCCTAAGGGGCAGAGACACCTGCCAGTTGTGTTCACTGCTGGGTATCCAGTGCTTGGAATAGTGTCTGGCACTTAACAGGAGCTCACTAAATATTTTATGAATAAATAAATGAGAGGACCATTATTGTTTTGGTTTCCTAGACTTCTGGCTTACATTTTCTTTCTAAGATATAACTGCATTTTTACCATCAAATTTTCTCTTATGCACACCAGCAGCCTGGGTTACAATGTGATTCCACTTTCTAGCTGTGGTACTGGGTGAGTTGTTAAATTCTCTGAACTTCAGCAGAATGGGGATCACAGAAGTATCTGTGGGTTGTTGGAGAAATGAATGAGAGAAGTCACATGAAGTACTCAGCACAATGCTCGACACATAGGTGTTTAACAAATTTTAGTGGTTATTGTTCTTACTATTATAACTAGTAAATTGTCCTCATCTGTTGCAAACAGCTCACTGATTCTTAAAGCACTTCATAATTAATGAAAGTGGGGACATTCAGATTCAGGACTAAGGTTTACATGATTGAGTCTCCTGAAAAAAAGTTAACTTCCTATGCGGGTTGCGTTCAGGAAGGATTAATCCTTCTCTTGTGCTCCCACAGGACTGTCTATACCTCTGTGTAGGAACCGCCACATTGTATTTCAATTAGTTGATTATGTTCAGTCTTCTCTGCTACACTGTGTGGTCTTTTAGGGTATAAAATTTCTGTATCCTATCACAAAGCAGGCATTCTATAGATGTTTGCCCAAAGGATGAGTTACCGTAAAGATGAGACTGATTCCATTATTTGTAGTCGCATCACATGTGCACTTTCATTACTGTTTGAAAATTACATTTCTCAACAGACAGTATAGATCTAGAGAGCAGGGCAGAGGTTTTAGAGTCGGAGAGTGATGCAGGGCAGCATGTGTGAGGATAAAAGCAATGCCCTGGAATTCAGTGATGGACTGTGAATAAAGAAGTGCTTAGAAGACCCATATAAAACCAGTTCTTATTTTCTCATAAATGGTTACTCTATTTCAATAGTAATGATCTCATTTATATCCATCTTACTTTATGGAAGTGTGACTACCCAGGGAAAAATTCTAATAAAAACATACTTGATCAAGTTGAAAAGCACAGTTATTAGAAACAAAGACTGGGGAAATGGAAAGAAACCCCCAGCTTCAGGTTTGACTCTTATGTAAGAATCAAAAAAAATTTGAAATGTGAGGAAGTCCACAGGTATGTAACACCACAGCAAAAATACTTTCAAAGAACTCATTTTAAAAGTCATCCAGATGCAAAATACTGAATAATGCTAAAACCTGTATTCAAATGATGAAAATTTACAGTGCTTCACACAGGATAGTAAACAGCAATTTGTACCTTTGGAAAAAGAAGGACGCTGGAGACTGGCAGATTTTACCGTTGAATCAGCCATTTAGTGTGTATTCAAAACAAAAGATCAGAGAGAAAAATACCCAGGATCATAAGGCTTCTCTGCCTCAAACTCTCACCTGCTGTGAGTCTATCCCTCTGAGTCATGCTTCTCATTAGGAAGGTACTTACATTAGGCCTCAGCCTGGCCGCCAGATCATAATACTTCTCAGCTGCTTCATTGAGGCTAGCCTGTCTGTTAAAAAAAAAAGGCAATCAGATTATATCATTTATTTTAAAATTACAGATAGGTGAACAGAATCATTATGCAGCAAAATCATATTAACTTCAAAAAATTATAATCATGCCAATCAAATAATATGTTGACTAAGCAGAAAAAGGTCATTAAAAGTTGAATGCACACCTATACACCAGAAACTAACACAACACTGTCAATCAACGATATTTCAAAAAAAATTTAATGCACACAGTGGTCTTTAAGGCACACAGTGGTCTTTAAGGCATTGTAAATAGCTCAACATAACCCTATTCAGTAGGTATCATTATTTTAAACTTACATATTAGGAATTAGAAATGCTATTTTCCTTTCCCAAGCTAACCCAGATAATATGTTACAGGGTTGGGATTCTCTGACTTCAATACAATGTCCCAGAAAAATCTTAATTTTTAAAAACAAACTCAAGATTATTATTTCGTTGCTTTTGTTTTATGAAAATAGTGACTATTTGCAGGTTAAAAAAAAAAGTCCTGTATCTATCTAGACAGCTACTCTTTTTCCAATTCAGGAGGGAAACCTTCCATTGTGTATAGTCTTTAGAAGGAAAAAAAATTTAAAAAAAGGTCAGTCTCCTCTCTGCTCTCTGGCCACCAGGGTAGATGCATGGCATTGCCTAAGCTAGTGGAATGTTCTTATTCAGGACTTGCATTCCTGAGTGAGTGACAGGAAAATGAAGGGATGGCTAGAATTTGCTCATCTAGCAAATTCTAGGGTGGATGCATCCATCTAGGGTGGATGCAACCAGGCTGGTCAAACTCCTTCCCTCAGGAGCTGCTATTGGATGTCCTGCTTTTTTACAGGAAGAGGCTGGGTGACCTTGTTTCCGGCTGATTCAAGCTGTGTCTTCCAGCCAGTAGTGAATTCTGTAATTCCCACAGCCTTCAAATAGCTACAGTCAGCTTTTTAAAATTACCAACAAACACCATGAGTAAGTGGCACAGCTGACGTACACAAATAAAATGCACACTGAACCTAATAGGTAAGTTTGTGCATTGTCCATTCTTGTAGTTCACAGTAAACCCCCTGGTTCAGCCAACTGGTTAGCAGAAGAAATCAAAGGTCTGAATCCTGTGTAAGCCCAGCCAATTAGCCATCAAAACACAGTATGTTTTTCGATCATGACACACTGCTTCAGAAAACCTTCCAAGATGGTAGGTGGTAAGAGCTAGAAGCTCTTGCAGATTGTGCTGTAGTTTGGTGACCATATTTGTAGGGTAGAGAACGCTATAGAAAAAGGACAAATTCAACTTCATGATGATGTAGATAGCTCAACTATGATGTGAACAGTAGTACTTAATGCCTTGGGGTCCTGTCATTAAAATGGAGGGTTCTCTTGCAACTGTGATGTTAAAGAAGCTTTTCAGAAAAGAAGATGGCAAAGAGGTCAGGGATAGAGGAGAAACAAAAATTAATTTTCTCAATTAGAAAACCACATTCAGGTTTTAAAAGAGAAGGCAAACTAGCCATACCTATAAAATTGAATTTGCACTTCGGTCAAGGCAGATAAGAACTATAAAGACATATGCCATGCAACAAAATAAATTACAGGAATAAGTGATGATAACATCTCTCTGGAGAGCAGGACAAATACTTTTTTCAATTTTTAAAGGAAAAATAATTAGAAACACTGCCATTTTTAATGGGGTTATAGAGAAAGTAAAACCCTTGACTTAAGGCTCTACTGGACTCATGACATGTTACAATGTGCTGTTGCAATTTATATTCTCATAAATGTTGAAGTTCAATTTCAATATGTCAAAAAAAGTACTTTAGTCTGGTAGGAAACAGTAAAAATTCTCTCGCTAGGGTATTTAATGACGGTTTCCTCCACCAAGCTATAGAATCACTTTGGTTCAGATTCATTTGGAAATCTGAACCAGAATTTGTTAGGTCATGCCCTGGAAGGGTTTTCTCCAGAGGAAAATAAAAGGCATGGAGGTAGGAAACGAGAGTAACTTAATACTACAAAGAAGTAATTGACTTTGATGCAGATCAACCAATAGACGTCTAACATAGAAAGCATAGCTACTACCTTTAATATTCATTTTTTTGTGGACAATCAAACTCATGAGGTAGATAAGGATCAAAAGAGAAAACAAGGAATTCACTAGGTAAAACGTCTTTAAAATAATAATCAATGAAATTGAAAAAAGGCTTTTCCCCCTAAAAATGGTATGTTTTTCAAGTCTTCACTGTCTTCAGTCTTCAATTGTCAAAGAAAAATCTCTAGTTTAGAAGATTTAGTTTCTTAAGCCAGAAGTAGAATTGATGATATTATAATGAAATAAAAATAGAGATAGTAGAACTTATTAGATTTATCATATAACTGAAAATTAATTTTGATTCTAGGACTTGGCTTCTAAAATTAAATGTTTTTTTTTTTGACTACTAATCAGTGGGCATTTGTGGCAACACATGGAAAACTGTAGGGAAAAGAGTATGTCCATTTTGTCCATGAAATCTTCATGGATAACCTGGTTTTACGCTCTACAAAGAGAGAAAATGCATGAGGAGCTGTCCAGTGTCTATTTTACAGCGTAAGCTCTACCACACACTCCCCTCTGCAAGAAGCATCCTGGGAGTGCTTAATAAATTTTAATTGCAAAGTGACTGAGTCATTAATCAACATTTGAAAACTGAGGAAATTAACAATATTCTACCTATTGCTTAGGGCATTCTATTAAATATTGTCTAGACATCAACCACTGGATTGTTAGAGACTGAATGCCAGACTCAGGTTCCCGCGACTATTGGGATCAAACTATTTAAAGAAGCTGATAAAATATATTTTTCCTGAATACCCATATTTTCTCTTTGTTCACTCTGTCCTTTCTGGGACAGTAAATTCTCTATCTATGTATCACTGAAAAAATTCCATGGATTACTCCATTTTCCAGTTGCATCAATACCATGAATCAATTGCTATTATTAACCACATTTCAAACATGATTAAAATGAGGCTTGGAGATGTTGATTACTCCCCCAAGGTAATACAGCAGGTAAGTGATTGAGCTTGGAATCAAGTACTCTAACGCAAAATAGCTGAACAATAGGATATTTGTAAGAACCAGGATGTAGCAGAAGGACATGTAATACACTGTTCCGTGGTAGATGACTGCAACAATTCCTACATCAAATACTAAGCAAGGAATAAAGCATTCTTTTTGATTATTATTTTTTAAATGGTGATTTAGATGTCAGAAATGAGATGTGAAAAGGGGCGAACAGGGAGAACACCTGCAATCACAGGTTTCACTTTCTGCCCAACCCCAGCTCCCAAGCTGACAGCCGGGAGCTTCACCTGACCCAGGTGAGCAGAGGACAGTTTTTAGAACAAACAGAGTGAAATGGACTTTTGAGTTCCGTCCCATGTACCTCGTCCTCTCCCAGAAAGGGGGGGGGGAAGGGAGGACCTCAAGGGAAAGGCAAAGAAATAGGGAATGAGACAAAGCAAGAACTGTGTTTGGAGACTTACTGTCTTACCCCCACGATCTCCCATGTTTGGTGTGAGGGTGGTCACAGTTAGACAGAGGGAGGAACCATGAGTTTCTGACAGGTCCAAGTAGAAGACTCAGAAGGTGGGGAAAGGGGAAAGCTGTTGGCTCTGCCAAGAGATCCCCTAGGCCATATGGATGCAAGCTTGTGTTCTGGCCACAGCACACTTTACAAAGGCCAGGAATGAAATGGTGAGTAAGAAAAATTACTCTTACCAGCAAACAGCACTGGGTCCAGATGGGGAACTATCCTCATTTAACACGTCACCCTGAGAGTCGACATTACGTCCTATATCTAGAGAATACACAGGTAATCACTATACCAACAGCAGACTGATCAACTGGAGACCCATGGAGGCTCCTTGCTCATCATGAACTCCTGCCCACTGTGTAGGCGGGGCCCTGTCCCTCTGCCGTGATCTGTGGCTCCTCAGAGCCAGCAAACGCACAGAGCTAGCGAAAGCCTAGATGGTGTCTGTAGACTGGACTACGGAGCAAACCTTGAATTCTGAAGAAATCACTGCACTAGGTTGTTATATTCATGACGTCTTTAGATTCAGTTTTTCCATCTTCAGTGAAAAGGTAGGCTCAGAGCGAAAACGAACAGTAACAAAAGTCACAAACAAATGTCCTCGTTCGATTACTACAGAATTCCGTTTTTGCACATGGGACTACGAAACTTACATCTGTTAAAAAATACAGAAATACATTTCACACAGCTAATGCCTCTCTCTCGTATTATTTTATGAGAGAAAAGTATCTTTTGGAACACAGGGTTAGGGCTCAATACCCTTGTAAGAAAAGACGCATAAAAGAAATCTGAGAATCAATTACATTATGAAACAACAACTTAATATACCCTATAAAATGTTTGAGGAGAATCTGATTAAAAGAATCATTGATGATTACCTACGTTTGTATGTATTCTGTGAGGATTATAAAATTAAAGGTTGGCAAATTTAAAATCACTTCCTTGAAAAACTAAAAAATAAAAACTCAAGTAGCATTGAGAAGACTCCTTAACTATAATTATTAACAGTTGTCAATTGTCAATCTTGAATTAAAATTATTTAATATGGATAATAACCACTGTTTGACTCATACAAAAGATAGTACTTTATTAAATAAAGTCTTGGTGATTATTTTCAAGGATAACTTATGAGCAGCATTTTTTTTTCGAGAACTAGAGCTGTTTGTTCCTATATCATGAAAGTAGAGTGAACCCGTAGCAAAGATATCCTGGGTCCCTGCCAACTTGCTAAACTTACACTTAGCTGTAAGTTACTCAAAGCAGAGCTAAATTTTAATTCTAGTTGATAAACTGTACAGTAGCAACCGCAGTAGAACAGAAACAAACAAGAACATAAAAATGTAGAGAAAATCTTAAAATAGCAAAACCAGGGTCACATGTATGTAAAAATAATGAAGCAGGAAAGAGCCTTATAATGAAACTCCTAGAGTACA